GTCCTCAGCCTCTACCCCAGCCCCGGTCTTTGACGGCTGTAGTAGGGGGTGCGGGTGCCTGATCATCTCGAGTAGCATGTATCCTCACCATCTGTGAGATAATAGAAGACAGAAGTTTAGAATTGTGATGTAAATATATCGCACGTCCAGGAAATCAAATGAAGTGGAATTTTCCTAACAGTTACATAGCCTCTCGTAGAAAAGTACAGACGTCTCCGCACTAATCATCAAGACTCTAATAAACCGGTTTGTGATCCATTACTCTTATGAACCTAGAGCTCTGATACCAACTTGTCACGATCCCAGTTCACCTCCGTGAACCATCATGACGACACCTAGTCTCTACGATTAGGTAAGCCTAAACTTGCGGAAGATAACCAAAACATGCAGAAGTAAAACAATTTAAAAACAGAAATAAGGCAATAACAGTGTTAAATGTGCCACTCGGCATACACCATATTTATATAGATCTCAAAACCAATATCTAAATCCAAGACCCGGAAACCCACGAATCACAAGCTAAGAAAAAGAAATACTACATAGCTCTAAGTCTGGAATTTTGTCTAATAAGAATAGAAGTACAGAAGGGCTAAATACTAAAAGCATGAATTGAAAGGAACTTCTCGGTCTACAGACATGGCAGATGTACCTCGAAGTCTATAAGCAGTCACCTCTCTCAAGGATGGTAGGCCTGAGTAGCGGTACCTAGATCTGCACATGAAAAATATGCACAGAAGGGGCATGAGTACACCATAGCGGTACTCAGTATCTGCCAGGTCTAACCTCGGTTGGGTAGTGACGAGGAAGGTCAGGGCCCTACTGAGATTAAGTAAATATAAAGATGACAGGATAAGATAAATAGTACAATTGAGAATCTACAGTGAGAATCTACACAGGATAATAAGAGTACAATAATGGAAACAGAGATGAAGTCAAACCCCTAGGAAGTAACCGGGGATCTCTCAGTATCCCAAGGATCTCTTTGTACACTCAATATATGTTAGGGATCTCTTGGTATCCCAAGGATCTCTCAGTACCCTCAATATATGCTAGGGATCTCTTGGTATCTCGAGGATCTCTCGGTATCCTCAATATATGCTAGGGATATCTTGGTATCCTGAGGATCTCTTGGTATCCTAAATATACGTGCCAAAGATCTCATGGTATCTCGCACCTCAGTCCAGATCATAAATACATACAGGGGATCTCCCGGGATGTCATCCCGTAGTCCCAAAGTAAAAACACACAGCAGCAACACAAGAATACCTGATTAAGCTAAATTTCATACCAAGTAAATAGTTAATTCTTGCCTAACATGCTTCACGTAATACAATTAAGGCAGTTTAAGCAAATAGGCAATTAAGTCAACTAAACATGCTTTTATTAATTAGCAACATGCTAAATTCACAAGTAGAATAAAACAGGAAAAAGGACTCAATTGAAATACTTAAGGAAAAATCGGATTTTTAACAATTAGCTCAAGTACGCACTCGTCACCTCACGTACAAGGCATTTCAATTATCAAATATATCATATCCTAAGGGGAAGGTCCCCCACACAAGGTTAGGTAAGCCACTTACCTCGAACCGGCTCAATAATCAATCTAAAACCACGCTCTTGCCACGAGTAATCCACTCCAAATGGCCCAAATCTATTCAATTCAATTTCATAACGTAAATAACAGTTCAAGTAACTAGGTAAAATGACCAAAACTCCCCTCGGGCCCATGTCTCAGAATTGGGTAAAATTTATATTTTTAGAATCCCCATACTCTTACGAGTTCATGCATGCCAAAATTATCCAAATCTAAGGTCAAATTCCCAATCAAAAGTTGAATTTTAGGTCTAAGAACTTTCTTCCAATTTTTCCTCAATTTTCATCTCCAATCCGAAATTAAATGATAAAAATAACAATAGACTGATGGAATATAACTAGAAAGGGTTAAATAATCATTACCCAATGATCTCCTCTTCAATTTTCTCCTGAAATTGCCCTCTCCCGATCTCTAAAGCGAATTTTCAGCTTTTGAAACTAAACCCTTAAAATTTCATATTTCTGCCCAGTTGTTTCCGCATATGCGGTCCCATTTTTGCGGACCAAAGGTCGCGCCTGCGACTTTACACTTAATGGCCAGGTTCCGCATCTGCGACTCCAAATCCGCAAATGCGGTACCGCTTCTGCGGTTCCAGAAGAAATTCCCAAATTTCTCTTCTGTGGCCACTAAGCCGCTTCTGCAGCACTGCACCTACGGAACCCAAACTGTAGGTGCGGTTACGATAGAACCAGCAGCTAAAGCTGAAACTCTAACTCCAAAATATTTCCGTCAACCATCTGAATTCATCATAAGGCTTCCGGGACCTCAACCAAAGGTACCAACAAGTCACAAACCACTATCCAAACTTGTATCAAATCCTTAGAACACCTAAAACAACATCAAAACCTCGAATCAACCATGGATTCAAGCCTAGGAACTCCAAAATTCTCAAAATACGCTTTAGATCAAAAAGTCTACCAAACCTTGTCTGAATGACCTGAAATTTTGCACACACGTCACATTAAACACTACGGAGCTACTCCAACTTCCGAAATTCCATTCCGATCCTCAGATCAAAATCTCCCTATCGGACCGGAAATTTCAAAAATTCAACTTTCGGCATTTTAAGCCTAAATTATCTACGGGCCTTCAAAACACAATCCGAACACGCCCCTAAGCCCGAAATCACCCAATGGAGCTAACAGAACCATCCGATTTCTATTCTGAGGTCATCTTCGTAAGTTCTGACTACAGTCAACTTTCCAACACTTAAGCTCTCATTTAGAGACTAAGTGTCCCAAAACTCTCCGAACTTAAAACCGAACATCCCGGCAAATCAAAATAGCAGAAATAAACTCGGGGAAAGCAGTTAATAGGAGATCAGGGCATTAATTCTTAAGACGACCGGCCGGGTCATCACACTATGTGTGCACGAGGGTATGATTTCTGTAAGGGTTGTAACTTGTTGCTTCAGATCAGGGCCACAAAGCATTTCTTTCGGCGAGAGGCCACGATTGACTACTTTGTGGGGGCATAAACAACATGATCTGCAGTCATAACAAGAGGATAACACATTGGGTCGCACCCACATGGATAAGAAGAGTGGAGAGAAATGCTGACTAATCAAAGTGGAGAATGGGTCAATTAGAAGTTGTCATCATTAGGCGGGAGGGAAATCCTAAGGACTACTCATAAATACTTGATTGAGTTAATAGGATTTGAGGGCATCCAGTCATACTCACCCTATGGGTTCTCAAACAATTTGGGTTGATCCAGGATGTGCCTCTATGGACGAGGACAACATTATATATAACGACCCATCCGGTTGTTTTGAGCATTTGCATTTCGTTTAGCTATTTGAAGTTTTGGGAAGCATTGTATGATGTATTATGACTTGTTTTAATCGTTAGTTTTAGTGTTCAGGTTATTTGGAATTGATTTGGAAGAATGATTCTCAACTAAGAAGCTTTAAGTTGGAAGAGTTAACCAAGTTTGACTTTTTAGTACTTGCCCTAGGATTAGAGTTTCGATGGATACATTAGGTCCATATGGTGATTTTGGACTTGGGCTTATGCCTGGATTTGCATTTGGAAATTTCTAGAAGGTTTCGACACTATTTGGCAAAAGTTAGAAATTTGAAGGTTTGAAATATTTATAAGTTTGCCTAAGAGTTGACTTTGATGATATTTGATTCGGATTGTGGTTTCAGGAATTGGAATGGCTTCATTATGTCATTTGGGACTTGTGTGCAAAATTTTACGTCACTTCGAGTTGATTTGATAAGGTTCGGCATGAGTTTTGTAAGTTGAAAGATTCAAAGTTCATTAAGTTCGATTTGAGGTGCGATTCGTGATTTTTGTTACATCCCGTACTTTAATATTAGGATGAGTCATAGTAATCCATATGAGTTCGAAGGGATTATGTCTATTAGGAGGGTATAGAGAATTTAAGATATTATTATTATAAGACCATGTAAGTTTTCAACTTTAAAATCGTTAGATAATGTGTTAGTGTGACATTTTCTTTTAAGTGAAGTGTTTTCATAAAAAATTCATAAGTATAATTTTGGATAGTTATCAGTATTACAACTTTCGAATATGGTAAATTATACACATTATATAAGAAAGTTTATGATATTTTCTTTATTGTAAAGATAGAAATTATTTTCTCAAAAGAAAAAAAGGTTATCTTTTTACTATTTTAAGAACTAAGCGTACGAGAAATGTTTACTCTTTATATGAGATTAGAAAAATTATAAGTTGAGAAAATATATGTATTTTTATATAGATGTTTTAATGAAATAATAGTATATGTATTTATTTTATATGGTACCACATGACCATGATAGTAAGTTGTATAAAGTGAATAGTATATTAAGTAGTTTGAGATAATTCTTAATTATGTGGATAATTATTAATTTAGTGGGAGATTAACGAATTAATTAAACTAATTAAGAAAATTGGATAAGCCTAAAGGCTTCCCAACATGGCAGCCAACTTACTCTATTTTTGATGGCTCTTAAATTCATATTAGAATATGGCAAAGTCTAAGAAATGTGAGTCGCACATCTACTTTCAAGAAAGAGTTAGAAAACCCACGTGTATTGCACTTTTGCAAACAAGGAAAAACTATGTCCTCTTCTCTACAACTACTACTAATATAATATTAGTAGAACTTCTTTTTAATTGAAAAGGCATGATGGTTGAGAATGTTTTGTTGGCAATTATCAAATATCAAAGCTTAAAGGAAATGGAGAATTCACATTTGCAGCTTAAGTTGATCAAGGCTAATTGAAAGCCCTTAACTTGGAAACTTTTAACTATCAGAAATGGGCTATGTTGCTTAAAGGTTATTTACTCAGATTAAGGATATTGGCATTGATCCGGATATAATTACATACAGTGCTCTCAATGATAGAATTGGTAAGCATGGGGAGCTAGATGATATGGTTTCTCTATACGAAGAAATGAAGAATGTTGGATGTTTTCCTGATGTAGTAACATATAATACACTGATCAATTATTTTTGTCGATCTGGAAGGATGGTATTAGCATTTAAGAATCTGCATGAGATGAAGAAAAGTGGCTTGAAGCCCAATGCTGTTACTTATAACACATTTATCAATGTTTTTGCAAAGAAGGGATGTTACAAGAAGCTATCAAATTCTTGGGTATGTCAAATTAAAAAGGCTAGTGGATGCTACGAATATTTTGGAGCAAATGAAAGAAAATAATATCAGACCACACACATTACTCTATGGAAGGAGTGATTCTCTGACTTTTGCATTTGCCTATGTTACATTTGATTACCGTGAATATATATATATATATATGGCTTTATATGTCAGTCATAGTATCTTTGTTGATTAACACATAACTGTTGTCAGGCAATGGAAATTCAAGTCTCTTATAGTGCGTAAGTCATATACTCGTTTCCAGTAATTATGATTGAGGCATGGTGAGGATTGTTCATGTATACATGTACATAGCTGGCCTTAAATGTATTAAGTTTATCCCTTCTTTCTTTTTTGGCATTATCCAAATTATACGAAAGAAACGAGCAAACACACAGTTTTCATAAACGACTCTATTTATAGAAGTATAAGGGGTGCCTATGTTCTTGAATTTCCATATGTCATATTGTTTTATTGTCTGTTCATGGGTCTTAGAAAAATATGTAAGTTGAAAAAGTTTACATCATGATATTATTCAAAGGCCTAATGGTCTTATGACATTCCGAAAGATTTTATTAACGTACTTCTCATGCATTGCATTCGTTTACATGTGCATTTATATATGACTCAGATAGAGTTATATACATTTATATATGTATATATATGTATATGGGATATGGGAAAAGGTTACGCCGTTATATACACACCACCACCTGATCAGCTGGTATACGATGATTNCGGCATTATATACACACCACCACCTGATCAGCTGGTATATGTTGATGATTTTGCCCACAGTGGCACCAGATGGCATTATATACACGTATATATGTAAATATATGTATATGGGATATGGAAAAAATGTTACGGCGTTATAAACACACCACCACCTGATCAGCTGGTATACGATGATGATGTTGCCCATAGTGGCTGAAATGATATGATGGGATGCCCTCAGAGGCATGCTAATATTATGTACATACACACCAATGCATTACATGATATTTATATGCATATGCATGACATTAAAGATATTTCATGATTTTGATTCATAGAGCCATCCAATTTTACAGGCTGAGTTATTTACTCCATATTTTTCCATGTCCCTAATTAATGTTGACTTACTATTATGTTTCAGTTCTGCCTTACATACTCAGTACATTATTCGTACTGACATTCTTTTGTTGGGGACATTGCATTCATGCTTGTAGGTATAGATAATTAGTTGAACGAGCCCTCATGGTAGACGAGATTGGCATTCTGTGAAGTATCAGTATGACTCCACCTCATTCGATGTGCTGTCGAGTCTATGGGTCATCGTGTTAGAGTTTGGCTACAGACATATGGGTAGGCCGGTACCCTGTCCTATTTGATGTCAAATGATCTTAGAGGCTTTGTAGATAAAGGTTCGTTTTGTACAGTATGTTATAGGCCTTGACGACCCATATGTATTGATGTTTTAAGAACGATTTTTTATTGATACAGTGTTGCCCACTTACAGTTATATATTATATGATATGGCCATGTGGGCCCATGATTGTTACGAAAGGAGTGAGCTCAGCTAACTCGACCTATGTATGTCCTAGTTTTGGGTGAATGATCATGAGTTACAGAGTGGTTCGCTCGGGCTAGTTAAGCGCAGGGTGCCAGCCAGCCTCCCAAGGTTTGGGGCGTGACAAAGTGGTATCAGAGCGGGTCGTGTCCTAGTGAAGCCTACAAAGCCGTTCCAAGTAGATTCTCAGTTATGGGTGTGTTGCGCGCCATATTTATAATTGAGAGGCTATAGGGAATTTAGGAAATGTTACCCTTCTTTTGTTTCCAGATCGTGCCATAGAGCTGAGCCGTAAGAAGTTAGTTTGAAGTTTTCGCCAGGTATTGTATGCACTAGAGGTGCAGGTATTACAATAGTGCTTTAAGGCATACTTTCCACCTATGTTGAAGGGAGGTTATGAAAGAAACAGAAGATATTCTGCGATATTGAAAAGTAAGTAAGGTAAAAGTGAAGAAAATACGAGATACTCAAGTACAAAAAGGTTGTAAATAGTCCAGAGCTCAAATAGTAGTTGGTGTTTAGTTTAGTATACAAAGGAGACCGTATAGAAAGTTTTGAAAATCTCAAAGAGTTAACATTCGAGGACGAATGTTCTAAAGGGGGGATGGATGTTACATCCCATACTTTAATATTAGGATGAGTCGCAGTAATCCATATGAGTTCGAAGGGATTATGTCTATTAGGAGGTTATAGAGGATTTAAGATATTATTATTATGAGACCCTGTAAGTTTACAACTTTAATATCGTTAGATATTGTGTTAGTGTGAAATTTTCTTTTAAGTTATCATTATCACTATTTTCGAATATGATAAATTATACACATTATATAAGAAAGTTTATGATCTTTTCTTTATTGTAAAGATAGAAATTATTTTCTCACAAGAAAAAAAAGGTTATCTTTTTACCATTTTAAGAACTAAGTTGTCACGACCCAAACCCCAATTCGGTCGTGATGGTGCCTCTCGTGAAGACAAGGCCAGCCAACTAACCCATCTCGCCCTTTTTAAAAAATAGTTAAATATTAATAAACAGTCTAAGTATGAATAGATTACCACAAACTAAGCAAAAGATCTTTATGATATGCGAAATACAGCCCAAACACAGCCCGATACCGGGGTATCACAAGTCACGAGCATCTATTAGGGTGTAAGTACAACTACAAGGTCTAAATTATACAAAATAGGAATAATGAAAAAAAGGGAGAAAAGCGATGTTGCGAACGCCGGCAGCCACCTCGCTAAACTCCGATAACTCTACCTCTGATCAGCCAAAAACCCGCTACCGGGTGTATAAATACCTGCATCTGCACACAAGGTGCAGGGAGTAATGTGAGTACTCCAACTCAGTGAGTAATAAGGGTAAATAATAACAGAGTAGTAAGAAATCATGTAAAATAAACCATCATGCTATATAGAGCAGTGCAAAACCCTTTGAGAAAAGCAGTGAAACTGTGAAATCTTTAGAAAAACATCTTAGCTCAGTTTAAACCTCTTTTGAAAATGACTTTATCAACGGTTGTGCAAATGAATGCAAACAAATAGTGCAGATAAGCAAAGTAATCTGACCCTCGGGCACAACACTCAATTAACAGATAATGCCAGGCAATTAGGTAGATATCTCATGAAGTGGCACAAACAACAGATAATGGCAGACAAATGAAATAAAGTAAACACATAGAACAGTACCAGCACCACTACGGCGTGCAACCCGATCCATATATCGCTGTGGCGTGCAGCCCGATCCATATTTTTCATCGACGGCGCTCACTGGGGGTGTGCAGACTCCGGGAGGGGCCCTTTACGGCCCAAGTGCAATATCAAGCCATCTCGTGGCATCAAATTTAGGCTCGCGGCCTCATATAAATCACAAACAGCCTCGTTGCGTACATATCTTAGGCCCTCGGCCTCATAATCAAATCAGTATCTCACTGTTGCGGCGTGCAGCCCGATCCAAAAGTATCCTCACAATACAAGCCCTTGGCCTTACTCGGTCAAAAATCACAAAAGCCCCTCGGGCAGTGTAACACCTCCTTTTTACCTACAACCCCGAGAAGGGTGATATAGGGGAGTTTTTTCCAACTTAAAGTGACAATCAAAATGGGATTATTTTTATTAACAATTCAGAGTCGCCACTTGGGAGATTTATGGTGTCCCAAGTCACCGGTTGAATCCCGAATCGATGAAAAGCTTGACTCTGTTTAACAGTCCGCGAACCAGAAATCCGAGTAAGGAATTCTGTTAACCCGAGAGAAGGTGTTAGGCATTTCCAAGTTCTGTGGTTCTAGCATGGTCGCTCAACTGTTATATTCGGCTTAACTCTCTGATTCTAGAAACACGTTTTAACCTATGATGCCATTTTAATCTTTTGACCGCTTTTATTTAATTATTTTCAGGAAGATTGCAACGCTATTAAAACACGTCTTGGACCACGTCACATAAATGCACCCGCGGTCTTTGACATATTTTAACATTGTTGAGATTTTGATTTGGGTCACATAAATGCGCACATATTATTAAAACAACGCACTTAAAGCAATTACGCGTTCGCAACTTTGCGAGGGCCATGGAAATTCAACTAAATGGCATGCCTCGACTTCTAAAGATTCACATGTTAATTAAATGAGGGCCGTGCATTTTAAGATTTTGTTCGACATGACACACCTCGAACTATTAAAAGAATTATTCCTAATTAGGCTTATAGAACTAATCTGTCAACCCTTTTAAATAACAAACACATTCTTAATTCTAACTTAACATGCGCTAAAATAACAAATCAACCAGTTCTAACCACGTTCCCTCAGCAACACGTAAATCCCACTGGGAATCAAAGAATCTACCAACCAAACTCTTTAAAGCACAGTCTCACCTATGTAGATTTAACACTAAATCTCGATTTCACTTAGCTTCAACTACCACAAATTTGGGAAAAATATGACCGGAACTACAACTTAATTTCAACCATTAAAACCATCCTAACATATATTGAAGAAAAACATACCAACAATAATGAGAAGAACAAAAACAAAATAGCAACCAATTCTCATGCGCACATTGACTTCATACGTTACAACCATGTTTTGTAGAAATTACAGTGAACTCAAATGAAGCTACCAATAAACAACTTTTAAATACACCATCGTGGAAGAGCAAATCTCATAACTGAAGCTTCCAAATAAATAATAGCAAAATGTAAAGGATAACAGAGGAAAGAATGCACCTGAAATGAATATTTCAATCTCTCAAATGTTCAACAGTTAGACGAGCCAAAATGAAACAGTGGCTGCAAAGGAACTCGAATCAGACAGCAACTCGGATGGAACCTCAAATGAACTTCGACCAGACCTCGAGACTCGTTGGACTCTCGCCAGATTCAACTCGATTGAGCTTGGATGACAGTAACGCTTTCAAAAACAACTTACAGTTAATCGAGGGACAAGAAACCCGGTGATGGGAACTCGGCAATACAGCAAACAACAACAAATGTTAAAGAAGAATCATGAACTGTACTCGAACGGCGATTTAGACTTCGAAACCAGTATCACCTCGAATCGATACCAGAAGACTCGAAAACGGACAGAACTTTGTGGCGATTCCGGAACGTCTTCAGCTGAATTTCAGTTCCGGTTTTGGTGTTGGATTGGGTTGGTTTCTGAGATTGTTTTTCCTTGTTGTGTTGTTGCGTTTTCCAGCAGAGCTTTTGGAGCTTTTGGCATTATTTTTTGGAAGGAGATGAGTGGCTTTTTCGTGTATTTCCGAGTAGGGGTCGCTGGTTGGTGTTGTCTCTCGCCAGTGATCAATTCCGGCGAAGCAATAGCTCGAGCGAAGGAAATGGAAGAAGGGTCGAGGTCAGCAGCTGCAGCTTCAGCTCTCTTCAGTGTATTTCAAGAATTAGGGTTTTGTGTTTGGTTCCGTGCTCTCTTGTTCAAGAAGAAGAAGAAGTAGCCATGGGTGTGCGGCTAAAATTCTTGACTGCTTGGAGAAGATGAAAGGTCTCTCAATGTAAAAACGGCTGAAGCTGTGATGCCTAGGGGTCAGTCGCGCTTTCTCAAAGTTGAAGGAGAAGATAAGGACGATGGGGAAGGGTCTGTTTTTTGTTAAGAATCTGCCATTGAAATGGCTCCTCCTCTCTTGTTGAAGGAGACCAGATTTTTGAGGGGAAAAGGGTCTTTCATGAAGGCTGCGCAGCTGAGTCTATTCCCCTGCTAGAAACGGTTGATGGTTGTATGTATATAGGTCTATGTTTTTGGTAGGGTTTTTAGGTTAAGGGGTATGGGCCAAGGAATTATGTGCTTGGAAATTATGGGCTAAGTCCAAAATTAGGCCTAAAAATGGGTTGCTCGAGCCCAAGTTCTATCCTTTCCCCGCGAACAAGACTAAAAATACGATCTTAATTATTAATTAGTCCTACTTAAGTAAAATAGCTATTAAAATAAGACTTACGTTTTAAAATAAATTATATTTTTTTTGGTATTTTTGAATATTAAAAATGACTACAAAACATTAATGGAATAATTTTTGTAATTTTCATTTTTCTTGTTATAAAATAAAGTAAAAGAGTCAAAATTAATTAAAATAGTTATATTAGGCCTAAATTAAATATTTACATGCTAAAATATGAAAAATCTTGAGGAGGGTCAAAAATCACATGTCTACAGGCAGTAGTAAAACATGATGCTCAGCCCAAAAAACATTATTAGAAATATCATTTCAAGTGTTAAAGCAAAATAAACTTGGCTGAGTTTTGAAAACAGTGGAAAATACATGACTGAGTTCAAGTATAAAATCAAAACAGTGAAGAAATATCAACAACAATCCCCGAAGGTTTCAAATAGCTGGCACGAAGCCCAAATATGGCAATCAGCCCAATACGTAATGATCGCAAATTAGTTTCAGTCATATACGCGGTAAAATCATCAATCAGGATGAACCAAGCCCCAATCCCCAAATAGTGCATGACCCCATGCTCGTCAACCAGCGTGTGTCTCACCTCAATATAGCACTACGATGTGCAAATCAGAGGTTTCAAACCCTCAGGATATAATTTACAATCATTACTCACTTGAAACCGACTAATTCTCTAGCTCGCGACGCCTTTGCCTCTCGAATCGGCCTCAGAATGCTCCAAATCTAGCCGAAATCAGTACCAAACCATCAAAATATGTTAAGGGAATAAATCCCACTTGAAATTAAACAAATTACCACAAAATTCCCGAAATTGGTCAAACCCGACCCCCGGGCCCACATCACTGAATTTGACAAAATTAACAAAACTAGAATCCTTATACTTTCACGAGTCCAATTACGATACCATTTGGTCCTTCAAATCATCATTTTACATTATTGAAAGATTTTACAATTTCTTCCCAAATTTCTTCCCAAATCACGAATTAAATGATGAATTCAGTGATATATTCATGTACTCTAGCCAAATTTGAGTTAGAATCACTTACCCCGATGAATTTCTTGAAAAACCTTTGAAAAATTGCCAAAATCCGAGCTCTCTAGGTCAAAATATCAAATAAAACCGAAAACCTCATATTTATAGAGTAACCAACAGATTTCCACTTCCGCGGGCCGCACAAAATCGACCGCAATCCGCATAAACCAGTGCGGTCCGCACCAAAATGACCGTGGCTTCACAGATTTTCCCTGTAGTGACAGATGTCCAAATTTCGATTCCTTTACCTTTCTGGAAACTAGACACGAAAGGCTACAACTTTTGTTTTTGAATCATCAAACAATTCCTTGTAGATCAAAAGATATGAGCTTCCAAAGTTGGACCGACGACCTGCGGGTCTTCATGACCGCGGACCGCGGACCATTTTCTGCGCCCAGCACTAAAACTTCTGCCCCCATCAATTTTCTAAGTTCAGGAATGTCCGGACTCGCTCGAAACTCACCCTAAACAAACCCGAGGTCCTCAAACCTCAACCCAAACATACCAACACCTCCCATAACATCATTAACAACTAGTCGAGCTTTCGAATCACTCAAAACAACATCAAAACACCAAATCAACTTTGGATTCAAGCTTAAGAACTTAGAAATTTCAAATTCCACAAACAACGCCGAAACTTATCAAATCATGTCTGATTGAACCCAAATTTTGCACACAAGTCATAAATGACATACTGGAGCTATTCCAACTTCTTGAGTCGGATTTTGATCTCGATATCAAAATTCAACCCCTTGGTCAAATTTTCAAACTTCGGCTTCTCATTTTCGCCATTTCAAGCCTAATTAAACTACAAACTTCCAAATAATTTTCCGGGCACGATCCTAAATCCAAAATTACCATACAAAGCTAACCAAATCATAAAAATTTCGATCCGAGATCATATACAAACATGTCAATTATTGGTGAAACCTTTCAAATTTTAAGCTTTCAACTGAGGCTGTTCTTCCAAATTAAATTCTGATTAACCTAAAACCCAACACCAGCGAGTTACATAAGTCATATTGCATCACACGGGGCAAGTCATTCCCGAGAACTGGCGAGCGAAATGCAAAAGCTCAAAACGACCGGTCGGGTCGTTACATAAGCGTAGGAGAAATTTTTACTCTTTATATGAGATTAGAAAAATCATAGATTTAGAAAATATATGTATTTTTATATAGATATTTTAATGAAATAATAGTGTATGTATTTATTTTATATGGTACCACATGACCATGATAGTAAGTTATATAAAGTGAATAGTATATTAAGTAGTTTGAGATAATTCTTAATTATGTGGATAATTATTAATTTAGTGGGAGATTAACTAATTAATTCAGCTAATTAAGAAAATAAGATAAGCCTAAAGGCTTCCCAACATGGCAGCCAACTTACTCTATTTTTGATGACTCTTAAATTCATATTAGTATGTGAAAAAGTCTAAGACATGTGAGTCACACATCTACTTTCAAGAAAGAGTTATAAAACCCATGTGTCTTGCAATTTTGGAAACAAGGATAAACTATTTCCTCTTCATAGAGCCATCCAGTTTTACAAGCTGAGTCATTTACTCCATGTTTCTTCCATGTTAGTAATTAATGTTGACTTACTCTTATGTTTCAGTTCTTCCTTACATACTCAGTACATTATTCGTACTGACATCCTTTTGTTGGGGATGCTGCATTCATGCCTATAGGTATAGATAATCAGTTCGACGAGCCCTCATAGTAGACGAGATTGGCATTCTGCGAAGTATCGATAAGACTCCACCTTATTCGGTGTGCAGCCGAGTCTATGGGTCATCGTGTCAGAGTTTGGCTACACACTTTTGTGCAGGCCGGTACTTTGTCCTATTTGATGTCAAATGATCTTAGAGGCTTTGTAGACAGAGGTTCGTTTTTTAAAGTATGTCAGAGGCCTTGACGGCCCATATATATTGATGTTTTAGGAACGATAGTTTATTGATACTGTGTTGCCCACTTACAGTTATACATTATAAGTTGTGGCCATGTGAGCCCATGGTTGTTACGAAAGCAGTGAGATCAGCTAACTCGACCTCTGTATGTCCTAGTTTTGGGTTGAATGATCATAAGTTACTGAGTGGTTCGCTCGGGCTAGTTAGGCACTGGGTGCCAGCCACGCCTCCCAGGGTTTGGGGCATGACAAAGTGGTATCAGAGCGGGTCGTGTCCTCGGGAATTCTAAAAAGCCGTGCCTAGTAGAGTCTCGCTTATGTGTGTGTTGCGCACTACATTTATAATTGATAGGCTATAGGGCATATAGGAAATGTTACCCTTCTTTTGTTTCTAGATCGTGCCATAGGGCTGAGTCGTAAGAAGTTAATTTGAAGTTTTTGCCAGGTTTTGTATGCACTAGAGGTGCAGGTAATACAATAGTGCTTTAAGGTGTAATTTCCACCTATGTTTAAGGGAGGTTATGAAAGAAACAGAAGATACACTACGATATAAAAAAGTAAGTAAGATAAAAGTGACGAAGATACGAGGTACTCGAGTACAAAAAGGTTGTGAATAGTCCAGAGCTCAAATAGTAGTTGGTGTTTAGTTTAGTATACAAAGGAGACCCTAGCGAAACTTTTGAAAATCTCAAAGAGTTAATATTAGAGGATGAATGTTCTAAAGGGGGGAAGGATATTAAATCCCATACTTTAATATTAGGATTAGTCGTAGTAATCCATATGAGTTCGAAAGGATTATGTCTATTAGGAGGTATAGAGGATTTAAGATATTATTATTATGAGACTCTATAAGTTTAAAACTTTAATATCGTTAGATATTGTGTTAGTGTGATATTTTCTTTTAAGTGAAGTGTTTTCATAAAAAATTTATAAGTATAATTTTGGATAATTACCTTATTACTATTTTCGAATATGGTAAATTATACACATTATATAAGAAAGTTTACAATAGTTTCTTTATTGTAAAGATAGAAATTATTTT